CCCCCCCCCCCCCCCCCCCCGCCACAAAAAACCTCTAAACATCAATAAAGCAAAAGTGAAACAAAAACACCTATTCCATGCCTGGGGACTTGTCCAATGTTCCTACCTGGAATACTCTCTTCCCAATCCTTCATCTGGCTTAAATTCATTAATCCCACTGGACTGTAAACTAAATGACACCAGGGATTTTTTTTTTTTTTAATTTTTATTTTTTAAATTCACGGTTATAGACCTAGTGCTCGGAACCTGACAGGTGCTCCAATATATTTATTGAATGGACTACTAGGTCTTTGTTGAAATAACACCTTCGAGGGCGTCTGTGATCTCTCCCACCTGAATGGGGTCCGCAGAGATAGATGCATTTCCCTGGGTGTCCTTTCCCGCCCTCCATGCCAGTCCTCTGAAAGCGGCCCGAGGCCGACCCCGCGCAGGGACCCGGAGGAGACCGAACCCGCCCAGGCGCAGCGCAGCCGCCCCGGGAAGCTCGGCCGTGTCCGCCTCCGCGCGGCGCGAGCCTTTCCAGCCAGCATCCCCGTAAAGGCGCTGCCCTTCCCGTCCCCGCACTGAGCTCCTGGCCCTGGGCTCTGCCGGGCCCTCGGGGGCATGTCCGCGGAGGCCGGGGCACCGCGACTCCAAAACCAGCAGCCGCACAGGCCCTGCGCAGAGACAGCGGGCGCTCCGCCGGACGGTCAGCCCCGCTCACAGCCCCGCCCGAGGCCTCGCGGGGGGTGGGGGTGGCCCGGAAGGAGAGCCCGCAGGAGAGGGGAACAGGGAGCCGCACGGAGAAGTCGCCGAAACCTGCGGAGGAAGGTCCNGACCGCCCGCAAACTAGGTTTCCCCACCCGAAGCGGGGACGCTAAGACCCCCCGAGGGAGCTACTCTCCCGCCGCCTCCCTCGCGGAGGTCTCGAGCCTCCCCCAGGCGGCCGGGAGGGGGGTCGCTCCTCACAACTCACCGCTCCGCCCCCGCGACTCAGTCCAGGGCCGGCCGCCGCGTCTCCGAGAGCGGGAACAAAGGTTCCCGCGGCGCAGTCGCGGAGGGAACGTTTTCGCTGCGCCACGGCAGGAAGTGACGTAGGTGTTCCTTTTCCGGTCCCCCGGGTTACGACTGACGGCTGGCCCGGCGGTTTTTCCAGACACGCTGTGTGGTGTTTGTCCCACCCGTTTGGTCCTCTGGCGGAGACTCCAGAAGCGGCCTCGGAATCCCGGCTCGGGCGGGGCGGGAAGGCGCAGGCGCCGGTGTCGCCGACACGTTCACGCACCCTCCCTGCCTGGCCGCGCCTCTGCGACCAGGTAAAGAGGGCGCTCGGGCCGCCGGCTCCGCAGTCCCGCCAAGCCCCCAAAGCTCCTCTCTGCATCCGGGGCGACGGGGCTGACGATGCGGGGGAAAGGCCAGGGCTCGGGATGAGTGTTCCCTTCTCTCCCTGGCCCCTCGCTGCCCGCAGCTTCTGCGGGTGCGGGCTGCGGGCTTCCTCCGCGGGTGGGGGGAGTGGAGCCTCTTCCAGCCGTTGGAGTCAGGGAGGCCGTTTGCTGCTGCTCAGTGTCGTTTTAAAACCTCTTGCATCACGCTTTAACTTTTTTGTCTCCTTTGGCACTTACTTTTCCATCCTAGCGCTTCCCGACTAGAAAGAGCAGTTCCTTCCAGGGGCATACTGCTTAACAGTTGCTCCAAAGGGCTTGTTTCATGTTGGGCCGTTTGCTTCTGCACAGCACCCCCGTGTTTCACTTCGGTTTTAAACTTCTGTAGAAAGTTTGAGTTTAACTTGCATGAAAGTTGCTTTGGCTCCAAAAACGTTTACTAATACACGCACTTCCCATCCCAGCTCTGTACCTGGTTTGGGAATTAGGTGACTTGTGGTTTTTTTCCCTCCCCCCTTTTATTCTTAAGGCCAGTATCCCTTAATGCCACCGTCCCATTCCTGCCGCGAGTTCTTGAATGTCAAGGAAATGCCAGCATTTAATAATGTATCTTGTGCTAAATTATTGATAATGAAGGTAGAATACTTCTACTTTTCCTAAGCCTATCTATAGAAGGTGTTTCAAGGAGAAAAATGCAAAAGCTGGCAAGAACTAATGATGTGACAGTTGTAAACATGACCATTTAAATACTGTAAAAATAAATTCTGTGTTATAAATACAACCGAGTGATTTGCTGTCATATTTAATAAAACATTAAGCTATGTGAGTTGTTTTTTTTTTTAACTGCCTGGTGGGGAATATACACTACGCAGGATTGCCTTAAGCATGCTCATTATTTGAAATTGTGTTTGAGTTATACCTGAAGGCATCGTTTTAATAGGTCTCACTTCAAAAACAAGTCAAACAAATCAGTGAATTTGAGAATCATTTCATCAGTTCTTTATTTATTTATTTATACACTTTTAATTGTTTGCCTGCTTTAAACAAACCTCAAACTTCTGCAGGAGTGGGCTCATCAAGTTTTGTTGTTTTTTAACCTGTATTTAACTTTGTAGCTTCTCTAGGACCTGTGATTTGAAATAAAAATAAATACTGAGTATCCAGTTGGCTTTTCTAACAGGAAGAATTTAGCAAAACTTAAAACTTCACAAATTCTGAGGCCAGTCAACTAAAACACCTGTGGTATACAGAGTTCTCTAGTATATGTTGTTTTTATCTTCACGTATTCAAAGTAGTCTCCTGACTTCTCTTATGATTAGTACTTAAAATGCAAAGATTGAAACCATTTAGATCATAACAAGCACAGCTATTGTTTGCTGTAGGGATACAGTAATTTTATTTCAGGCTTGCTGATGTTTCTAACACATTAGCATTTCATGCTGTGAATCCCTATTACTTATGAGGTCAGGCTTAGCTAGAGGCATTAAGATTCTCGGGCAACAGGTGATTCGCTGATTCTCCAGAGAAAAGATGACACACTTCCCTTATGGCTAAGGTTTTTACTTTTAAACATCTTTTTTTCCATTTCTTGTTCAGATAAGGAAACAGCTAATTTCAATGATAGGGTTTTTTTTTTTTCCTAGGACTTAACTATATGCATAACCACATTACAAAATGTAATGAGCACTGAAATAGCTCAGTTTTTTTCTTTCTTTTGTTAACCTTTAATATTTAAGGTAATTAGCTGATACCTAACTCTGTAGGGGCCAGTTGTTTTGTGTTTTAAAATCTACATTACTGTAAGAAAATGGGGTGAGATTTGCAGCCAAATAGTGTTATTTTGTGAAATGTATAAAACACAAGTTAAGTTCTAATATCCATAATGTTGAGTATTTGATGTAGGGAATTTAAATAGGTTTAAATTTAAGTTTTAATCTCTAAAAAAAATAAGAGTTTGCAGTTTTTCATACTTATAAACTGTGTTGAGCTATTTATTTTGTACAATATAAACAGTTAATATACATATGAGCTTAGGGTATCACATTTATATTCTACCATTTTGTGACTTCCTGACTTTTAGCCTCATTAACAAATAGATTAAAAAAAATTTTTTTTTCCATTGGTTTTTCAGAGAGAGTGGAAGGGAGGGAGGGGGAGAGAGAGAGAAAGAAACATCAGTGTGAAAGGGAAACTTCAATTGGTTGCCTCCCAGAGGCACCCCAACCAGGGATCGAACTCGCAACCTGGGTATGTGCTCTAATCTGGAATCCAAGTCTCAACCCTTCGGGGCAGGGGACAACACTCCAACCAACTGGAGCCACACTGGCCAGGGCTATGCTTTCCTTATATGTTTGGATGGATTCTAGTTATTATTTTTTCTAGTTCAGCTCACAGAGGTGATCTTATTTCTTCATTTTAATTTATACATAGATGTCTCTTAAAAACAGATTTATTCAGTTGGAAGAGAAAGAATGGTGTCAGGAAGAATGGGGTTCCTGTTGTACCAAGACTAAAGTTCTCAGCAGTACTCTCATTACAGCGATTACTGATACTGATTTATGTACATTCATTCATTCTTGGAACAAAATTTCGAGTGCTGGTAATTTAAGCATCAGAGATGTAATGTCCAGTAATAGGTGCTATAAAGTAAATGAAAACAGGATAAGGGGCTAGTGAGTGATGAGAGTGCTTTTACAATTCAGGTTGTCAGGAGAGGCTGCTCTGAGTTAATATTCAGAGACCTCAGTGAAATGAAGGAGCAAACCATGTGTATCTCGAAGAAGAGCGTTCTAGGTAGAGGGAACAGCAGGTACAAAAATTCTCAAGTGTGAGTGTTCCTGGCATCTTCCAAGAACAGCAAGGAGAACTCGCTGGAGAGGAGCGAGCAGAGGGCAGAGGGGTAGGAGACGAGGTCAGGAAAGAGGGTAGCTGGGTTCACATTAGGCCCTATATAGACCATGTTAGGAAATTCAGGTTTTATTCTAAGTACTGAAGAGCCATTGGACGGTTGTGAGCGGGGGACATGATCTGATTTGTGTTTTTTGAAGGATCGCCCTGACTATTGGAGCATTGACTGCTGTGTGGAGAGTGGAGGAAACAGTTAATAGGCTTTTGCAGTGGTCTTTGTAAGAGCCGATGATGACTTAGATTGAGGCGATAGTGGTAGAGGTGCTAAGAAGTTGAGTTTAGCATATATTTCAAAGGTAGAAATAGTAGGTCATGGGGGGAAATAAAAGGAGTTGAGTTACTGGCTCAAGCATCTGGGTGAATGGTGTTGCCATTTTTACCAAGAATGGGACTAGACTAAGGAAAGAGAAACAGGTTTAGAAAAATGACCTGAGTTGAGATGTCACATAGGATACAGGAGCCTGAAGTCCAGGGGAAAGGATATTGATGAGAAATAAAGGAGTCATAGATGATATTTAAACCTCTGGCACTGGAGACCACCTAGAACAGGGCTGTTATATTGTGAGTTGATGGCCCATTAATGGGTCTTGAAATCAGTGGATACGAACCAGCAACGAAAAGACAGCAAGCAGAAGCAGCACAGAGTAAAAAATAAGTATCTCCCGCGTAGGATATTCATAATTCTTTTGTTTCAGTTTTATTCTGTGTATAATGAGTTGTATTATAAAATGTATTTCTTATTGTCTGGCATGGTTAAAAGTTTGAAAGCCAGTGCTCCAAGGTGTGGATGTAGGTTGAGAACAGAGCAAAGCATTGAGCCAAGTGTCCCTAAGAGGCCCAAGAAGGATCCAATAGAGAATCAGGAAGAAACTATCAAAGCACTTACTCCAGTGCTAAAAGTGGTCAAATAAAACTGCCTTTAGAACAGGGTTTTTTCCAAGTATTGCTCAGAATAACATAATTTCTTATTATCTTTACTTTGGTAAAATTGTTACATGCTGTTGAGTCGGCTCTGACTCCCGGCGACTGAATGAGCCACATGCACGACGTCCTGTCCTCAACAGCCCTGCTCAGTTGCAGACTCATGCCTATGGTTTCTTTTACGGAATCAATCTGTCTCATATCTGGTCTTCCTCTTTTCCTGCTGCCTTCTATTTTTCCCACCATTAGCATCTTTTCTAAAGAATCCTGCCTTATGACGGGCCCAAAGCAGGATGGCTTCAGTATTGCCATTTTTGCCTCCAGTGGTGTTTCAGGCTTAATTTGCTCTAGGACCCACCTGTTCATCTTCCTGGTGGTCCAGGGTACCCATAGAGCTCTCCTCCAACACCGTATTTCAATTTCCCCCCCTATCGGCTTTCTTCACCATCAGCTTTTGCATCTGCACATAGTAGCTGGGAATACGTGGGCACAGATGATCTTAGCCTTGGTCTCTAATGGCCACCTTGCTCTTGGTGACCTTTCCTAATTCTTCTAATTTCTGGTTTCCAAGTCTCAGCCTTCTCTTGCTTTCTCGGCTGCAGTCTTTTGGACTCCTGATTGAATCAAGGTAAGCAAAATCTTTAACAATTCCAGTCTTCATTTTCTTTGCTCAAGTTGTGTGTTCTGTTGTCATGATTTTTGTCTTCTTAACGTTCAAATGCAGTCCTGCTTTGGCGCTTCTTTCATGTTCATAAGAAGTCAGTTCGTAGCACCGCTGCTCTCTGCCAGTAAGATAGTGTCATCTGCGTATCCTAAGTTATTGGTATTTCTCCCACCAACGTTCACTCCTCCTTCCTTGGAGTCTAGCCCAGGTTTTCATATGATATGTTCTGCATACAAATTAAACAGGGAGATAAAATTCACCCGTGTCGGACTCTGTCGCCTGTAGGAAACTGAAACTGTTGCTGCGATAAAATTTTAATGTGCTTTCATTTATGAAATTCTGAGTTTATAAAATAGTGCTATTTATATTAGAAAAATACAGATTCCTGAATGTTCTCAAATAAGGTCCCTTTATAGATTCAGTTAATTCTTTTGGATTGATGTATGATTCTCATTCAATTAATGGAAGTACAATGTACTTTTAAGGATTGTGAAGATTAGAATGAATGTCGATAAGGTCTCTGTGTTTGGCACATAGTGGGTGGAAAACAAAATGAACATAATGTTATTTAGAATTCTATTCTTTGTATATTCATTTAACATATTAAGCTCCTATCAAATTCCAGGCACAGTGATATTTTCTTCCTTGAAAACAAATTAACTGGTCAACATTTTGTTGTAGTGATGTCCTTTTTGTTCTTTATTATATAATATATAACTTATCTATTATGTACTATTTAGTTGCTATAGATCCAGACTTGAATTTTGAGCACAAAACTTTGAAACATTTTTTTCAGCTTCTGGAGAAATATGCCTATTTTCAATATGTTTATCCGCTC